TTATTTTCATAATTTGCCAAATTAATGTAAATGTTTGATGTTAAATTTGATTCTGTAAATAAATGACCGCATTCATTTTGATGGGTCAAATATAAATGACGTCTCACTTTGCATTTCCTTAAATTCAATGCACGTTTTATTCAGTCCAGAAAAATGAGGAACCCGCGTTAAATGATGAATATATCCCAGCATCTGTTCATCTACACACTGATGAACACATCAGAGGCAATGAGGGGTTCATTGTTTTTCCCAGGGACACTTCGGCATGTGGCTGCTGGTGAAATCAAACCCCAACTCTGGCATTGGAGGATGAATGCTCTAACCACTCAGCCACAGCCACCCCAGCAACAACAAAAAAAGTATCTGGACCCGTTTCTTTAATGAGAAACGTTTTGTCCCCCATGGGCTCACCACCTGTGGGAGGGGCCAAAGGGGTCGGGTACAATGTGGGATAGATGGTGGCTGAGGGCGGGGACCCTGGCGGTCTGATCCTCGGCTACAGAAGCTGGCTATTGGGATGTGGAATGTCACCTCTCTGGTGGGGAAGGAGCCTGAGCTGGTGTGTGAGGTTGAGAGGTTCCGGCTAGAAATAGTCTGACTCACCTCAACGCATGGCTCTGGCTCTGGAACCAGTTTTCTTGAGAGGGGTTGGACACTCTTCCACTCTGGAGTTGCCCCTGGCGAGAGGCGCCGAGCAGTAGTGGGCATACTTGTTGCCCCCCATCTTGGTGCCTGTATGTTGGGGTTCACCCCGGTGAACGAGAGGGTAGCCTCCCTCCTCCTACGTGTGGGAGGACGGGTTCTGACTGTTGTTTGTACTTATGCGCCAAACCGCAGCTCAGATTACCCACCCTTTTTAGAGTCCTTAGAGGGGGTACTGGAGAGTGTGCCTCCTGGGGGCTCCCTTGTTCTACTGGGGAACTTCAATGCTCACGTGGGCAATGACAGTGAGACCTGGAGGGGTGTGGTTGGGAGGAATGGCCCCCCTGATCTGAACCCGAGTGGTGTTCTGTTGTTGGACTTCTGTGCTAGTCATGGATTGTCCATAACGAACACCATGTTCAGGCATAAGGGTGTCCATATGTGCTCTTGGCACCAGGACACCCTAGGCCGCAGTTCGATGATCAACGTTGTTGTTGTCTCATCTGATCTGCGGCCGCATGTCTTGGACACTCGGGTGAAGAAAGGTGTGGAGCTGTCCACTGACCACTACCTGGTGGTGAGTTGGCTCCGATGGTGGGGGAGGATGCTGGTCAGACCTGGCAGACCCAAATGTATTGTGAGGGTCTGCTGGGAACATCTGGCAGAGTCTCCCGTGAGACGGAGCTTTAACTCCCACCTCTAGGAGAGCTACGAACACGTTCCGGGGGAGGCGGGGGACATTGAGTCAGAGTGGGCCATGTTCTGCGCCTCTATTGTCGAGGCGGCTTATCAAAGCTGTGGCCTCAAGGTTGTTGGTGACTGTCACAGTGGTAACCCTCGGACCTGGTGGTGTACACCGGTGGTGAGGGATGCTGTCAGGCTGAAGAAGGAGTCCTATCGGGCCTTTTTGGCCTGTGGGACCCCGGAAGCAGCTGATGGGTACCGGCAGTACAAGCGACATGCGGCTTGGGTGGTCACTGAGGCAAAAACCCGGGCGTGGAAGGAGTTCGGAGAAGCCATGGAGAATGACTTTCATACGGCTTCGAGGCAATTCTGGTCCACCATGGGGGGGGGGGGGGGGGGGGGTATGCCACCAACAATATTTATAGTGGGGGTGGTGTACTGCTGACCTCAACTCGGGATGTCGTGGGTCGGTAGGCAGAGTGCTTTGAAGACCTCCTCAATCCCACCGGCACGTCTTCCACTGAGGAAGCGGAGCCTGGGGACTTTGGGTTGGGCTCTCCAATCTCTGGTGCTGAGGTCACCAAGGTAGTTAAGCTCCTTGCTGGCAAGGTCCCAGGGTTGGATGAGATTTGCCTGGAGATCCTTAAGGCTCTGGATGTTGTGGGGTTGTGTTGGCTTACACGACTCTGCAATATTGCGTGGACATCGGGGGGCAGTTCCCCTGGATTGGCAGACTGGGGTGGTGGTCCCCCTATTCAAAAAGGGGGACCGTAGAGTGTGTTCCAACTACAGGGTGATCACGCCTTAAGCCTCCCTGATAAGGCCTATTCAGGGGTTCTGGAGAGGAGGGTCCATCGGATAGTCGAACCTCGGACTCAGGAGGAGCAGTGCGGTTTTCGTCCTGGTCGTGGAATACTGGACCAGCTCTACACACTCAGCAGGGTCCTGGAGGGTGCATAGGAGTTTGCCCAACCAGTCTACATGTGCTTTGTGGACTTGGAGAAGGCATTCGACCGTGTCCCTCAGGGAGCACTGTGGGGGGTACTCAGGGAGTATGGGGTACCAGGCCCTTTGATACGGGCTGTTAGGTCCCTGTACGACCGGTGTCAGAGCTTGATCAGCATTGCCAGCAGTAAGTCGGGCTCGTTCCCAGTGAGAGTTGGACTCCGCCAATGTTGTCCTTTGTCACCGATTCTGTTCATAACTTTTATGGACAGAATTTCTAGGCGCAGCCAAGGTGTTGAGGGGATCCATTTTGATGGCCTTAGGATCGCTTCTCTGTTTTTTGCAGATGATGTGGTCCTATTGGCTTCATCAAGTCGTGATCTACAGCTTTCGCTGGAGCAGTTCGCAGCCGAGTGTGAAGCGGCCAGGATGAGGATCAGTTCCTCCAAATCCGAGGCCATGGTCTTGAGCTGGAACAGGGTAGAGTGTCCTCTCCGGGTCTGGGAGGAGGTCCTGCCCCAGGTGGAGGAGTTCAAGTATCTCGGGGTCTTGTTCATGAATGACGGAAAAATGGCGCGTGAGATCGATAGACGGATAGGTGCGGTGTCGGCAGTGAAGCGGGCGCTGTACCGGTCTGTTGTGGTGAAGAGAGAGCTGAGTCAAAAGATGAAGCTCTCAATTTACCGGTCGATCTACGTTCCTAGCCTCATCTATGGTCATGAGCTTTGGGTTGTGACCGAAAGAACGAGATCACAGATACAGGTGGCCAAAATTAGTTTTCTCCACAGGGTGTCTGGACTCTCCCTTAGAGATAGGGTGAGAAGCTCGGTCATCCGGGAGGGACTCAGAGTAGAGCCGCTACTTCTCCACATCGAGAGGAGCCAGTTGAGGTGGCTCGGGCATCTGGTTAGGATGCCTCCTGGACACCTCCCTGGTGAGGTGTTCCGGGCACATCCCACTAGGAGGAGACCCACAAGAAGACCCAGGACACGCTGGAGGGACTATGTTTCTCGGCTGGCCTGGGAACGACTTGGGATTCCCTCGGAGGAGCTGGCCCAAGTGGCTGGGGAGAGGGAAGTCTGGACCTCCCTACTTAAGCTGCTACCCCCTGCGACCCGACCCCAGATAAGCGGAAGAAAATGGATGGTTTTGTCCCCCATCCAGAGGACTTCCTCAGTCTACAGCCTGCCAACCAGATCTGTCCCATAGGTAGTCTTCGCTGCTGTGTTTCAAGCCAACATCCTGTTGGAATCTCACAAGTAGACTTTTAACACATGCAAAACACACCTATCCAAAATGATCAATCATCATGTACAACAATTAAATGTTTTAGGCCAGATGGACAACTTGCTACTCACAGAAACAGCCTGAGGACAAGCAAGGCCAAAATGGCTCAGAAAAAAAGGTTGTAAGCTCAATCATCCAGGTAGATAACAACACAAATGGTTAAATCATGTCATCTGGACCAGTGGTCCTCAACCCCCGGGCTGCGGACCAGTACCGGTCTGTGGGTCAATGGGTACCAGGCCGCAAAGAAGGGGAAAAAAGTTTTATTTTGAAAAATCACCGGATTCTCTCCATCGCATCAGTCTATGACTCACTTTTGACATTGGTCAACATCCACAAGTGGTTAGTTTCAGTTTCTGCTAGGTGCATGCACAGATCTGTTCTACATTGCTGGTGAAGAACAAAGCAATTCAGCTACATGGTCTGGAGCAGACAGTTGGAGGTGTGCAGCTGTATCTGTGCATTTTGAAGGATTACACTGCATATTTTTCAACCCGCCTGACAAAGATTGACTATAAAACTATAACTAAATAAAACTATAATTTTAACAAGCTTCCTAATATCACAGCAGAGCTGTCGCTTCACATTTTTGCTTCTGCTCAAAAAAAATATCTGCCCCTAAAAGTTCAAAGTCATGGGTAATTTTATTATAAAACACAAAAATATAATTAAACGGTTTGCACTAGGCATAAGTTCCTGTGTTTATGTGAACAATCTGATGTGTGAATCACTGCAGGAGTTATCTGAACTTTCATCAAACTGATAAAACAGACGATGATCTCAGCTCATGAAGCTGTTTGTCTGCAGTCTGAGTATTTGAAGCGAAAAATGTTTCAAATGTTTGTAAAATACACCAGAATGCAGGAAATGGCATCTACTTTATTCAAAATTCTGTTGGGGAGGACCCCCAGACAACGCCGTATATAATATTGTCTGACATCAAACCAGTCCGTTGCGCAGTAAAGGTTGGGGACCACTGATCTGGACCAGTTCCTTTAAGTGAGAAATGTTTCGTCCCCCATCCAGAGTACTTCCTCAGTTTACAGCCATGTATGTTCCAGAAAAAAGGAACCTCTTTAGTTGTCCTGAGGTCCAGGTCCAATCTTTTTTTCTGAACCATTTTGGCCAGGTGTCCTCAAGCTGTTTCTGTGAGTAGCAAGTTGGCCATCTGGTCTAAAACATTTGATTGTTATGCATGATGATCGATTGTTTTGGACAGATGGTCCCTTTTTGCATGTGTAAAGACAATTTCTGGGAATTCCACAGCAGAATGGCTTGGAAAAACATCAGTGAAGTGCTATTTATGACAGATCTTGGTGGCAGGCCTCAGACTGATGGAAGTCCTTCAGATGAAAGACGAAACTTTTCTCCCAAAAAGAAATTGTCCAGATGACACGATTTAACCTTTGTTATTAATGATCTTTTTATGTTTCTTTGTCCAGGTTTTGCTCCATATGTGAGAGATATGTGTGGTCACTGAACAAACACTGTGCTAAATGCAACATCTGTCCATCAAAGGTATGAAACTGCTGCACTCACATTTTATTGTCCCCACTTTAATAAATCAACAATAATAAAATAAACTTCTGTTGTTGTTTGTGAGTGCAGGATGGCCGTGAATGGAAGCACTGCTCATCATGTGAGAAATGTGTGAAACCATGTAAGGACAAGTGTCTGAGCTCACATCAGAACTGAAATATATAAGTAATGTATATAATGTTTCCCACACATTCCCTTCATTCCCTCAGCGTGGAAACACTGTCAGTCCTGCGGCCGCTGTGCCCTCCCAGACCACCCGTGTGGTGGCAGTGGGGAGGAGGGCTGCTTTAACTGTGGCAGCCTGGAGCACAAACGGAAGTCCTGCCTTGTTAAGAAGGCTCCCGGAAGGACAGGGTGTGTCAAAACTGTCCTGTCAGTCATTAAACAGCAGGAAATGAAAACCTGCAGGTCTTAACTTGTGTGTTGTGCTCCTGCAGGTGTGGGACCAAATCGAAGAAAGATTCCCATCATGCTTATTTCAAGCTTAAAGGCAAGAAGACGTCCGGAGCAAAGAAGCTGCTGGCTGAGGCTCTCTGACAGCATCTGTGTCCTTTTATTGATAGCTGTCATAGTATTTGTCTTTGAATCCAACCAGCTGGAAACTGTAGTTTGAAGACAATAAAACCTGAATACAAAGTTCTGTTTGTGTTTAATGACTGTAGTTACAGAGTTGCAGTAAAGAGAGTTGAGTCTACGTAAGTGATGTTCTCTCAAGTAATTATTAACAGTTATCATTTGTGGCATCAGTCATAGAGTATGAAGTACGTATGGGGGAAGAGGAAAAGGCCTTTGGCTAGGCTAGGCTAGGCTAGGCTAATGGCTAGCCAGTTTTCATTGTTTTTATGTCTGTTGAAGGCAGGACATAATATGGTATAGTTTCCATCTGTACGTAAATATCGTCTTGTCCAGACCATCTGATTCGCTCAAGATAATTTAATCAAACTTCATACACAAATAGATATCACTAGATGGAGTGTTGTGTACACTGTTCATCACCCCAGCTTTATTGTCACAAATCAAGGTCAGTGTAATACCAGGTCTTTGCTTGTCTTAGTCATTGCTGTGTAATAGTTTGATGACAGGCCTTTGATGGGCTGTATGCAGTACTCTTGTTCAGGCTTAATTGATTAGAAAAAATCCACATTAGCTAATAATAAACTTCCAGACGTTTGCACACTTTTAGTTTCTGTTATGACATTAATATATATATATATATATATATATATATATATATATATATATATAT